TGCCCTGCCAGTCCTATCCTGTTCCTACTCTACATTTCCTCTCTCGAAGAAAGGCTACAGAAGACTGGTCATGGGTTCAGAGTGGCTAAGAGAGGAGATTTCTGGAATGTTAGAGAAAAGAAATATCTCAACATAGCTGGACTTCTATTTGCCGATGACCTGATCCTGATCGGGAGAAACTTCTCGGAAATGGAAGAACTGTTAGGAATCACGTCACAGTTTGGGGACGAGATGAAACTGACCTTCAACCCAACCAAGAGTGCGATAGTAATATTCTCAAAGTGCAGTCATAGTACGGAGAGGACACTACAAATCCAAGGTAAGGATATACCAAAGGACACGCGCTACAAATATTTGGGAATCACTGTGTCAGGCTCTGGGAACTACCTAGATGTCCAAGAGGACATCTGGGAAGAGAAATCCCAGAAAGCCCTGAACCAACTGCACGCGAGGGCTCTCTGGGGATTCAATAGATTTGAGATATCCAAGACCCTGTGGAAGGCGGTCGCCGTTCCAACGCTCACATACGCAAATGCAGTCACAGTCATGACGAAAACTCTGGAAAACAGGTTATCGACAGATCAGAACGCAGCGGGGAAGTACGCTCTTGGTGTTCCCTGCAGTAAGGTGGCAAACGACTTCGTCACCGGAGAACTGGGCTGGTCTTCATATAAGGCTAGGGAGGCCCAGAGTAAGATCAGATATTTCACCAGAGTGAAATCCATGCCTGACTACAGATGGCCGAAGGCCATCATGAACATGATGGATTTAATCGGAGTCAAAACAAAGGCATACCGAAGGGAAATAGAATTGCGTCGGGAATTCGAATGTGACGATATCACATTAACATTCACACTAGAAGGCACACCCCTCCTAGGAGTACTCAACAGAGCGATTAAGGAGAGAATCCGAGAAGTTGAGACGGCCAACTGGAAAGACTCGATGAGTCGAAAGAGTAGCCTCGCCCTCTACAGGACCAATGCGCAGGAGAGAGGGGTGAAGAGAAACCCATACGACAACAGTAGAGGTTCCGCCCTACTCGCGCTCAGTCGGGCAGGAATGCTAAGGACAAGAGACGCCAGAGCACGCTCCGAGCCGGCACTAGAATCCACATGTATGAGATGTGGAATGGTTCCGGAAACACTAAGCCATATCATTTGCGAATGCAACGAAGCATTCTTCGAGGAGGAGGAAATACGCATGCGATTGGGACTCGTCGAAGAACCCTCCTCAGAGAAGATTGGCAACACCAAGAGAATCCTACAGCAGTGGGAGAAAGAAACATGTAATATCCGCTGATTACTCGCCACTGAAATGAAAGTGTCACATATGTGAGGATAAATAAATACCAATACCAATACCAATACCACTTACTTCCGCCGTTTGTGTGAGGATAGTCGCCTTGTTCCACATCTTGATTGATACTGGTATTTTTCCGAGCGCTCTTATGTCGAATCCCGGTTGTTCGGCGACTTCGGTTCTGACGAATGAGCTTCGCGAACCGGAATCAAACAGTCTACGCACCAGCTTTTGTTCTCCGTTGGGACCTATAGCGTTCGCAACTACCGTTATGCAGTACCGCGTCGCCATCCGTTGCTCTTCTCAGGAATGACTATTTTGCCGTCTACGACTGCTCCCACAATGTACCGTGGAGGTCGCCCTCGGGTCGCATAAAGAAGTCATGTGGCCTCTTTCGTTGCACCTTTCACAATACGGTGGGGATCCACATGCGGCGGCTCGATGACCTCTTCTGGAGCACTTCGCACACCTATTCTCCTTGAACGGTGTCAGGTGATTTCGGCGCACATTGATTAGGGCGCATGGTCGATTACGGCGCGAAGTTGAATTGAGCGCAGTATTGATTTGAGCGCATCGTCGATTTGGGCGCGATTGATCCGAGCGCAATCGATTCGGGCGCAATCGATTCGGGCGCAATCGAATTGAGCGGAATTGATTTCAGCGAAATTGTTTTTGGCGCATGGTCGATTTGAACCGGTGAATCAACGAAGGGATGAGTGGGGAAAGGAAGAGGAATGATGCTCCTCGATGGAACGACCAGCAGCGGTCATGTGTTTTCTGCAAGTCAAGCGAGCATAGGACTCAAGCATGCACAGACACGACCCTTGACATATGTATAGCAGACGCGAGACATCTTGTTCAAGGGGTTCGGGGTGATTTCGGCGCAGATTGATTAGGGCGCATGGTCGATTACGGCGCGAAGTTGAATCGAGCGCAGTATTGATTTGAGCGCATCGTCGATTTGGGCGCAATCGATCCGAGCGCAATCGATTCGGGCGCAATCGATTCCGGCGCAATCGAATTGAGCGGAATTGATTTCAGCGAAATTGTTTTCGGCGCGTGATTGATTTGAGCGCATGGTCGATTCGAGCGCGTGATTGATTCGAGCGCATGATTGATTTGAGCGCATGGTCGATTTGAGCGCATGATTGATTTGAGCGCACGATGCTGTTCGGCTAT